CGTCCACACGAATTGATACGATATAGACTTTCCATAGGAGCATGAAGTGGCATGGTCGCTGGCAAGTACTCGATACTTGTAGGTAACGAGGATATACGGCCCATTCTAACGCGCCATGGGCGGAGCTCGTTATCCCCGGGAATTCGGAGTTATCCAAAGGACCCTTGCTGAGTCACCCACAAGTGGCCCAGGCAGCCCCCTCCCACGTGACCGCTTATCGATAAACTCGAAAAGGACGCCTCGCGCCATTGCCACAACCGTCACTTGAACAACTGCAGCCTCACTTCATCCACTACCTTTGTTTGTATTCGGCGTTTTGTTGTTTTCATTTTTTTTTTTCGAGGACCCGACAATGGAGGCTCTCGACGGGCCTGCCCCGAAGAGACGCAAGGTCTCACCAACTCTCGATGCACCCTCAGTTTCCCCCGCAGCCCCATTTTCCGAGTACATTGTAGTTGCCCAAGCGCACCTGAGAGCCTCGACGCCCGACCCTGACCTTTTCGACCGGACTTCCGATGACTCTGCTCTGGAAATTACTGTGCTGGAGGTGACCAAGTCGAAGAGCCGTCATGTCATTCGATTCTCTGTTGGGCGAGGCAGGATCGGGAAGTACATCTCGATTGATGGTCTGTCACCGAGGGATCTGCAGATCCTCGAAGACGTTCAAAAGTTGGAGTCGGCGGTGAGATACAAACATCCCGCGGCGCTGCCACTCGCTTGTGCGTATGCCGTGGTGCAGCCCGTGGGTCACGAGGTCTGCATTCAAGTCTGCATTCTGTGGGAAAATACCGCCGTTGTTCGAGAGAAGGTCGACCCGGTATTACTTGACATGCTTGGGCGTTATCTGCCACCCGCAGAACCCAACGAGCCTGCGCTCGAACCCTGGAACCCTCGTCAGTTTTATGACAATGTTCACGTTCCCGAGAAGTCAGATGCCAACTCTGCAGACATTCGGATCCCTCACCTGGACTCACAATTGTACCCGTTTCAGAGACGTGCTGTCCGGTGGCTCCTTTCAAGAGAAGGTATGGCTGTGCAAACGAACGGTGAACTTGAGCTGCTGCCTAAATCGTCCGAGAACCGGCTTCCAAGGGGGTTTGAAAAATTTGAAACAATGCACAATGGGACTTGCTATGTCAACCATACATTGGGAGTTACTACGACAGACCTATCTGCGGTCGAGGAATATTTTGCGTCCGTCCGAGGCGGGATTCTAGCAGATGAGATGGGTTTAGGAAAGACGCTGGAAATCATTGCTCTAATCTGCCTGCATCCTAGAAGAGCCTGGACACCTAATCTTCCGGGGTTGAAACCGTCTCCTGCAACCTTGATCATTACACCCCCATCGATTCTTGAGCAGTGGAAGGACGAGCTTCAGAATCACGCTCCCTCACTGAGTGTTTTCCATTACACGGGAGTTAGCAGCTACAGGAAATCGGGGGAGAAGCTTATCGAACAACTTCTCAACCAAGACGTGGTGCTGACGACCTACAATGTCATAGCGAAGGAAGTTCATTACGTCGCTGAGAAGCCAGATCGAAATCTGCGCTACAAACGAGAGGAAACGCCAAAAAGCCCTTTGACTCAGATCTCCTGGTGGCGTGTCTGCCTAGATGAGGCTCAGATGGTTGAAAGTGGTGTGTCTTCCGCGGCCACAGTGGCTCGGCTCATCCCACGGCACAACGCTTGGGCAGTCACGGGAACCCCTCTTCGGAAAGGACACCGAGACTTGTTTGGCCTCCTGCTCTTTCTTCGATACGAGCCGTGGTGTCGATCACCGCGGCTGTGGGATTACCTCATCAATTACCACCGCCCTCTCTTCCGGGACATGTTGTCAGAGATTGCCATGAGGCACTCCAAGGAATTCGTCCGTGAGGATCTGCGACTACCACCGCAAAGCCGACATACTATCACAATCCCCTTTACCGCCATCGAAGAACAACATTATGCCCAGCTTTTCCAGGAGTTCTGTGAGGATTGTGGTCTCGATCGGACGGGCGCTCCTTTGGAAGACGACTGGGATCCAGACTCCCCCGCTACGGTAGAGACGATGCGGACCTGGCTTACTCGTCTACGACAGACATGTCTCCATCCCGAGGTTGGAGGTCGAAATAGGCGTGCATTGGGTCGAAACACGAACGGTCCCCTTCGGACGGTTGAGCAAGTGCTGGATGTGATGATAGATCAGCATGAAAGTCAGCTTCGCACCGCGCAGCGAAATAAATTGATCGCACAGATCCGGAGAGGGCAATTAAAAGAGAACGCCAAAGACACCGATGAAGCTCTTCGGATATGGAAAGGAGTTTATGACGAATCTGTGGGTATTGTAACGGAGTGCCGCAAACAATACGAAGACGAGCGACAGTTATCGAATGCGAAGAAGGAGCAACAAGACGACGAAGAATCGAATCCAAGGCTGACGACTTTGAGGGCTCGACTACGATCTGCTTTGGAGGTTCAGCACATTGCTATTTTCTTCATGGCAAATGCGTACTTTCAACTCAAATCCAACTATTCTCCGGAAAGTGACGATTACCAGCAACTGGAGAAACAGGAGACGGCGGCATATGAAGAGGCAAAGTCAATTCGTGGAGAGCTGCTGACAGAGGCGACGAGTCATGTGAACAAGATGATTACTACAGTCAGGTCCAACTTGGCAAGCGGGGTGACGCAGATACCACCCATGACCGAGCCCTCGGGGTATGGCGGGATTGAAAGCAGGAGGGTTTTTGAGAAACTGCATCACTATTGCAAAGCGATGGATGCCCAAGCAGCGCAATTTCATGAGTTGCGGCAGAAGATGGCGGACTTCTTGAGCCATGCCCTTATCGACGAGGATGAAGGCATCGAACTTCAAGGTGATGAATACGAGAGTTCGACCAAGCACCAAGACGAGATGTACGCATACATGGAAGCGCTCAGAGCCCTGTTCGCCGACCGTTCCGAAGCCATCAACGGTCAACAAAATCTGCTCATTAGACAGGAAATGAAGCAGTTCTACCGGATCGCCAAGGAAGGGGAAGGCCCTGCACCTAGCTTGATGCTGAATTTGCTTGCCCAGCGTGAGCAAACGCGTGTCAAGGTCAGTAAGTTGGGCTGTCTACGCGGGATCATGGCCGAAATCAGGCAGATGGCATCTTCTCTGCAGTGGCAAGAAGGGAACAATCAGACTCGTGCGAGCCAGGAACTGGCAATCCTGGAGCGTATCCTGAAACATGTCCAGCAACTCAATTCGGCACAAACGAAAGCTTTGAACAGTCTTGAGCAGGAGGTGAACCATTTCCGTGATACGATGAACAGCCGGCTGGAATATTACCGCGCCCTTCAAAAGATCTCGGACACTGTCGCACCGTACCAGGAAGAGAACGTGGGAAAGCCTCTGTTCGAACCACACTATCAAGAGTTTGTGGCCGAGGAAACCAAACTACAACAGAGAATTGCCTCCGGTTCTGCCAAACTTCGATATCTGATGCACATGAAGACAGAGTCCAAGTCGATAGGGCCTCGGATTTGCGTCATTTGCACTGACAGCTTCGAGGTTGGTGCCATGACCAATTGTGGGCATCTGACGTGCAAAAGCTGTTTGATCCTATGGGTCAGTCAACACCACAATTGCCCTGTGTGTAAGACCAGGTTGCTTCCGAACAGCTTCCATGACATTACCTACAAACCCGCCGAGATAGCTGTGCAAGCCGAATCTCCGTCCAGCTCCACCTCAGCGTCGACGTTGTCGAACACTGACCACCATCATGACCAGTCGATCTACTCCGACATCAGCACGACCATGTTGAATCAGATCAAGAACATTGACATTCAAGGTCCCAGTTTTGGTAGTAAGATTGATTTCCTCTGCCGTCATCTGCTCTGGCTCCGTGAGCATGACCCCGGCTCCAAATCTATTATCTTCTCACAATATCGCGAGTTCATTGACGTGCTCGCTCGGGCATTTTCAGCATATAAAATCTCATCGACCCGTATTGATGGCAAGAACGGCACTGAAAAATTCAAATCGGACCCGGCCATTGAGTGTTTTCTGCTTCATGCGAAGGCGCATTCCGCTGGCTTGAATCTTGTAGTTGCGAGTCATGTCTTTCTCTGCGAGCCGTTGATAAACACGGCGATCGAGCTGCAAGCAATTGCGCGAGTGCATCGTATCGGACAACACCGGTCGACGACAGTATGGATGTACCTTATCGCTGATACAGTTGAAGAGTCCATCTACGAGATCAGTGTGGCGCGGCGACTGTCACACATGAAGAGCAAGAACGAAACCGATGCCTCTTCGGCCTCCCAGTCGGGCAGAAATACACCCCATCTGAACAAAACTCTTCAAGAGAATGCAATCGATGCCGCCAACTCTCTGGAGCTACAAGCCGCCAACCTCAGTCGGCTACTTGCCTCGGGCAAGTCGGGTGGGGAGATAGTGGACAAGGAAGATCTCTGGTCGTGTTTATTTGGGCGAGCCAAGCGACGTGACCAGTCGGCGCTGGAGGCACTTGCTGATCACCAGCCTGCAAATACGGAAGTGGGAAGGTTCTTGCGGGCTGAGGCCGCGGAAACGAGGTTTGACACAAGTTGAGACAGAATGCGAGGCTGAGAGACGGAAACTCTGGTTTATCACTCTTGCGCCGCCTTCTGACACAGGTAGACACATGAAGGTGCGACGTATTCCATCCACCCTAAAAGCTGGTTATTGCAGAGTCCAGCACTGGCGAGGACGAAGTGACCTGAGAGACGTGGATATTCAGGACCTTGATAGATGTTAGATGAATGTTCAAACCCAAGGAGTAGCGTTGAGCATTATGTTGATTGATTGGTTGACTGTCCCAATATCCTCAGATCAATCCAGATCGTCTGCATCCCTTGGGGAGCTACATGCAAGGTAAAAAAGCATGTACAATACCTGTGAAGCTCGCTCTGTAGGTAGGTAAAATGAAGAGACATCGTCGCCCTCCCCATTCCTATTCTCTGTACCAATTTGTAGAGAAAAAGTCAGTGTTTCATCGACACCAGAAAACAAATGGTCCGCGCTCGCGGTTCTTATGGAGACTCGCATCTCCGGTCTCACGGCCAGCCTCGTTCGATGCGCCTTGCTGGTGCGTGTTGCCGGAACTGCCACTGCCACTTCCCATGCCTGCGATGGGATCTAGGTCCAGGTCCATGGCGTCTCCGTCGTTGGGGTGGTCGAGCCCTTGTCCTTCTCCGGCGACATCCTCATCCAGGTCGCCCAGTCTGTCGCTCCACTCCAACCCCTCGCCGTCGCCGAGAATGGTGATGCGCCACCACCTATCATAAAGAAATGGCGTTAGCAGAAATGGTATAATGAAAATCCCTCGAGAGGAGGAGGAGGAGGAGGACTAAACGTACTTCCCCAACATAATCTTCCCGCCGGGAAGCAGTGCGCCTTCGTACGCGTAGGCGTAGTCAATGTCGTTCCACTCCAGGTACTCGCTGAGGCGGAACTTTTCCTCCATCTCCTCGACCGCGTCCCTGTCGAAGTTGGCCCCGTCGCGCCACAAAGGGTTCGAGACGAGTTTCGTGCGCAGGTACTCGTCGAGCCGCGCGTCGATCTCGGCGGCGTTGTCGAGCGCGAGCGCGGGCACGGGGTCAAGGCCAGGGTCAGGGCCGGCGTTGTTGTTATTGTTACCTTGCGCCATCTGCGCCGTCAGCGCTGTCGCGTACGTCTCGCCGTACTCTCCCTCGGCGTGCTCGAGGACTTGGATCAGGTAGCGTTTGCTGGGCTTGAAGAGGATCATCACGACGCGCTTGAATCCTGGTAGACCGGGGTCTTGATTCGTGTCGTTGTCATCGTCCTCGTCGTCGTTTGTAAGAGCTTGGGCAGGGATGGAGTGGACGACGCCACGGAGACGAAGAGCCAAGTAAGGGTGATATTTGGACAGTTGTGGCGCGGCCGGCAGCGTGAGCGTGGACTGCGATTTCGCCGGGTCGGATGCCCTCACAGAATTGCTCGGGGACGATAGCTGGACAAAAGGAGCGAGGCCGCGGATGAAGACGCATTGGCTGAGGTCGGGGAGTGACTTTTGAAAAGCCGGCACGCTCTTGAAGATGGGCGACCAGAAGCCGTCGACTCGGTTGTCCGCCGAGATGGCAAAGTCGAGTTTCTTCACCCGACGCAATCAGTCTCTGTCTATCTGCCTGTGCCCTTGTGTGGAGATAGTACCTACCATGGGATCAACCTCGTGCCAGTCTTCCGCCAGGCTTTGGACCTCTTCAAGCTCCAGCCGCTTCCTCGGCCAATTGGCCAGTGTGGAATAGTGTCCGTACCACTCGGTGGGAATCTGTAGCAATGAGTCGTCGGCGAGCGGCCTGTCCCACGGCTTTGGGGTGATTCCCTGACGCATCAACTCTCGTGCCATTTTCGCATACGTATTCTCGGTGAGAACGTCCCTCGCCCCGGACCCCTTCGCGGTCTGGATGAGGTGACGGTGCCAGAAGTTGCGAATGTGGAGCAGAGAACGGGTGTCGAGTTTATACGTTGGCCTGCCAAGTTGACGTAGTCTGTGTAGCCTGCCGCTGCGTCGTTTATTGCGTGTCCTGTTTCGCACCGAGTCTTCGTTCTCTTCCCCTTTGTCCCTTCCCTTCCCCTTCTCTCTCGGATACAGAAGAGTCAATGGGCTTCCCCAATTGTACACAATGGCCAGGTCATAGTTCGTCCTGGATGATCTCACAGTGGAGGCCATGTGGGAAGCCGGTGACAATAGCAGATGGGATAACACAACCTGGATCGAGTCAAAGAGGGAATGTGCTTGGCCGTATCGGTCGCCTCGGCTGGGGAAGAACGGACAGGACAGAAATATTCGTGCCCATGGAGAGTTTTCTGACGCAAATGCTGCGAGATTGCGAGAGGTCGATCGTCTAGGGAGGAGCTTGGACTGCTGATTGTAGGACTCTGTGTGGGAAACGATCAGCTTCGAGGCATTGTGTATCTAGATAATGGATGCCATTAGACTTACCCAGGAGCATATCTCTCAAGACCTCCAATTGAATCTGCAATCTCTCATCGTCCGGGTCGGTGAACTCGACGAACTTCTGGAGGACAAATTTCCGTAACTGATACGCCGAAGCAAACTCTGTAATGTCAACGATGAATGGCCAGTCGAAGACCGAGTTGAACCGTTGACGCCAGATTGCCGACCGGGAAGATGTCAAAGCGTACGCAAAGGTCGTGCAGGTGAGCATCAAGTTGTGGAGATCATGATCATCCGGGAGAAAGGTCACAATCTTGTTGAGGATCTGCCCGATGGTCAGCGGGAGCCTCACACTTCCTGCTCTCACAGTACTGACTTCATTGGGCACACCTTCGAACTGGCTGCGGACACGAGAAGAACGTCTCGGCTGCCTGGGAGGATGCCAGTCACCATCCATCCCGTAAGAGTCAGCTACGGGATCGTCAGCAAGGTATGAGCGTGAATTGAAACTGCGCTTCAAGCATTGTCTGTGGGCAGCAGGAGGTATTCTCTTCAGATCCTGTCCACCTGCAAAATCCATATCGTCGAGATCTGTGGGGGGATCAGAGAGAAGAGACTCAGTGTCAGAGAAGGAATCAGCAAGGCTATCGAGAGCCATGTCGACTGAAGGGGGAGCCAGAGTCAACAGCTCAGCGACGGGCCTCAAGAAATCAGGGAAGTGAAACCAAGGTGAAGGAATTCAGAAATCAGAAATTAGCCATTATACCTAAGGAGGCCCCGAGGATGCCTTTTACCCAGTAGTGAATTGCTCCTCGACGCTATTTCTCGTCAGTTTGTGCCTCTTATATTTGCCATCGACTCACCGCTGAACTCCTGTCAGCACGAGCATCCAAAAACAAAAAGGTCTACGGGGTATTCGACTTGCAATGCTTTCATCTGTCTTAGCAGCCTGGACTATTCGCCTTCTATCAGTCGCAATATCGCCAGCCGAACCTGTTCGCTTGTCTGAATTCTATTATGCCCTCCGTGTCGAATCCGTTCCCAGCGTAGGTGCTTTCTACCGTCCTTGCTCTTCCATTCTTCTCGATCAAGGTTGCGAGGAAAGTCGACTAGGCCGTTGGTTGCAGAGTCCAATACGTGTTCCCAGTTCGCGCGACCTTCCTGCCACGGGATCTCGTAGTCGTTGCGAGCGTGTAGCATGAGCAGATTGAGCTGGACCTCGGGCGTCTTTGCTAATTCCACCAGCCTAGAGCTCGCGTCCCATTTGTCGAGAATGTGGGAACGCAACCATTCTTGTACTCGAGGATATGCCATCAACGGAGATAGAATCGGAGGTGTGAGGCCTTTAAACGAGTAGGACTCGAGTAGATTGGGCAATGAAGTAAAGCTGGCGATGGTAATTAAACCCTTTGGCGGTGCCCTGCCTAGTTTTATCACCCATTCATAATAGGTGGCCGTCGAAATAAACGTGCCCATGGATTGTCCAACCAAGACCACTTGGGCAGGGTCCACATGCTGGTGGTCTGTTTTGCGTCGATCCTTGACATTGTCGGACTCTCCGGTTAGAGCAGACAGTAATGATACAGCGTCCTGGATAACACCCTCCTCCGTGGGACTACCCGTGCTCAGGCCGAATCCGCGGTAGTCGAAGGCTATGACATGGACCGGTTTCTCTGGGGTCGACACACCCAGCATCTGCTGATATGCGGAAGGGCGGTAATTGGAGGCGAGGTGACCAGCATTTCCATGACAGGCTAAAACAACAACTGCAGTCGGATCATTGAGAAGAAGTTGAAGACCAACGCTCTTAGAAGCGGTCTCCCAGGGCTTTAGGCCGAAATCTGCCTGCTCAGTTAAGGCTTTCTCGTGCTTGGAGTAGAGATGTGTAGGGAGGATATGCCAGGCAAACAAAGTCACATTGTCATGGGTGGTGACGGTGAAGGGTTGAACTTGGTGATGGAGGAAACCAAATTGCTCAGTATTGTTCAGATCTTGAAAATAGGTGGGATTGAAGTTGTGGACGTAGGTGGCATTGCGCTGGACCACCGGCAAGGTCAAAGCACCCATAGCTACGGCATAGATCAATCCACACCCAGCCAGACCCCAAAAGGCTCGGCGGAAGAAACTGTCGAAGGCCATTGCAATACAAACTAGGGCGATCGGGGTTGAGCGGAAAGGAGTAAGGGGCGCGGCAGGTCAATTTCACACATTCATCGTGAAAGCTTGGTGTTCCAGGTAGCGATGGCACATGGAGATCAGATACGTGGGAGTGGTCAGACACTGCTGGGGCTTTGCTATCAATGATTGCAGATTACTCCTATCTGCAGTCGAGGCTGAGGCTGAAGATGAAATTGCGGTTGCGGCTGCGGGCCGCGGGGAGCGAAGAAGGCCCGGCAAACCTTCCTCCAGTTGCGGCAACGTTGTGTAATTCTTCCTGATGCGCATGCGCCGCCGTTCATGCTTCCTCCACTGTTTCCCATCTGAACCAGCCACAAGAGTTTATCGGCCTACAGGTCGTCTTTCAATCACCTCATGACCGAGGTCACTCCTCAGAAACGGGTTCTGCCCGCCCGTGACAGACGAGAGCTGGTCTCAAAACGAAGAGTGTCCTCGCCTGCGCGACCTTCTGCTCCTGTATCCGCGGCCACTCCCACTCCGCGCAGACAACCCTCCGCTGTCGCCTCAGAACCCCGCCAGAAGCGGCCGTACAAGAAAAGAGACAGTCTCGTTCGGGTTCAGACTCCAGTCTCGGTTTCGCGCTCATCTCCCTCGATTTCCGTCGCGGAAGATGCCTTGCCCTCTCGCATTGATGCGAACCAGCCGCTCCCTACGGCAAAACAGAAACAATCCTCCGGTCTGTCTGTGCATGAATATCAATCGATTGCGGAGAGCGCAGTCCTTGCCGCATCCCTGCACCGTTCTCGTATGCAGTGGCTTTACAACGGGATATTTCAAAAATACTGGGTCAAACCTGTCAAGCGGAAGGGTGTGATCGAGGCTCCCCCTAATAACCCCGATGCCAAAACGATGCAAAGGCTGGGTGCTGCTACTGTGACGATTGAGCCTCACACATTTGATGTGGTTTTCTACACAGTTCGCGATCCGGCGGCTCCTCCGCCATTCCCACGCCATCCAAATCAACATACCATCAAGCACATGGCTCCTCCTCCGCCTCCACCGCCACCATCTGCTTCTGCATATCCCAGTTATCCTCCTGTTGCTCCGTATAACCAGGCTCAACGACCGCATCCACCTCCATCTTCTGTGTCACCATCGCCATCCACGTCAGCTGCGCATCCAGCCTTCAATCCTCTAGCCCCGCTTACAGATACTCCGCCCTCGGCAGCTCTGTCCCCTTCCAATACGGGGCCTCCTCCGATCCAGTTCAAACAAGAGAAGGAGTCAAGACACAGTCCTGCTGCATTCCCATCACACACACCGCCAGCCCAACCCCACCATGAACAATCTCTGACGCCGCGTCCGGACTCAAAGTCCAATCCACCTTCAGGAGGGAGGAGCAGCGCGACAGATCCAGTTATACAAATGCTGGCCGCACGAGCAGCGTCTGATCCTCAGTTGAAGGAGCTGATGAAGATTGTGGCAACTTCAATGGCTTCACCTGAACAATTAAAAGAGTTCCAGGCTCACATCGACGAATTTAATGAAGTAATCCGGCGGCAGGAGGTAGAGCGGCTTTCCAAAAGCGAAGCGCGGCCACCAAGCCAGCCGCCGTCCACGCCGACGATTGCAGAACCCCCAAGTCAACCGGCCTTGGAGCCCCAACCTACTGCTCCGAGTCCTGCACCTCCAGGACTGCCGTCAAATCCCTCTCCTGCAACAGCACCCGGGCGATCATCAACGTACAATCCTCCACCGTCACAGCCACGTCAGCATCCGAACAATGCTTCCCGTGGTCCTCCTCCTGCAGGTCCACCACTCGGACCTAACACATTACCAGGAGTGATGCACACATTTCCACATGCTCCGCCACCAGTTGGGCGTGGGGCCCCAACGGGAGGCTACATTGGGTACCATCCTCAGCCGCAGCCGCCACCACCACCTCCCCCAGCTCGACCTGAGCCCTTCATCAAGCACATTGTAATGGAGATTACCAGCGTACCGTCTGGGAACCAGACTGCGTGTTCGGATAGATGGCTCTTTCCCGAGTATGCCGTCTTGGAGATACGTCCGGGAGGTTTAGAGATGGTTTGCTCGTGGTTAGTGGAACGCAAGGGCTCCGAGATCACGGCGAGCGGCGAGCCTGCAAGAGAAAAGAGCGAGATTGGAGGCAAGTGGCTGGCGGAGCAGGAGTATTATCAGCCAGTGACCATGAGCATCAAGGCACTAAATCACCGGACGATAGAGACGATCGCCAAAGCAGCGAAGATCTTGCCGGTCGTGCAGGAACACATGAAGGAAGTGATGAGCAAAAAGCAACGGGCGCCGGTGGAGTATCTGGTGCACCAGCTGCCACGCGAAAGGGCCCATGTGGGTGCAGACAGCACCGAGTCTGGGTTTGTGGATAGCGGCGTGGACCTTGGCAGTGATTCAGCATCTGAAGACGACGAATTGAAGGATGTCTACGGAATATGAAGTGCCGGGTCGGTAAACGAGAAGACAGGGAGGGGTTCAGATGGATCATATGCGGCCGCTTTAATTCGATTGGGCCAGCACCCATTACAAGGACTCTGATAGCGACTGTAGATCCCGAGTATTCCAAGGCTAGACTGGCATATGTACTGCTACCCGACCGGGAGCCTGCTGGGGCGATGGATTCAGAGCGGTCACTAAGATCAGACCACGAAACGGGTTCTCGTTTGACTTTTCCCCGGCGCACTTTTCGTGAGTGATGTGTACAAGAAGGAAACTTCAGCAAGGTATACAAGTACTGGTGGAATCGTGGCATACAAGTACAGTAGGTTGCCAGGTGTAGTAAAGTACAAAATTCGAAAAGGCGCATGTGCGGGCGTCTGAATCACACGTGACTCGGTCAGATTCAAGGTCGCCGTCCATTCAAAGTCTCGGTTCATCGCTGCTCAACAACTCAACCACCCTCACAATTGTTCTTCCACCACCCTCATCAAAGTCAAAAGGAACAAGGACAAGACGGGAACAAAGGCTTACCAAGGCGAGTTCGGAAACAGAGCCGAGCAAGTTCTTTCCCTTCGCCATCCGACGAACCCACGCTCCAACACTCGGACTCGAATCAGAGACCCTCACTCTGCCACCCCGCCCTCCCCCTGGTTCAGGGAATAAGACTCCTCGAAGGTGCTGTGGGACGGAATTGAGAGCCGTGAGAAGAAGCTGCGAGAATATGTCATGGCGCGTTGAATAGTGGCTCGCGGAGTTTCTGGGGAGTTCATCCTACATACATCTGACGACTTTACAACTGGCCGATTGCTGGGCCTTGTACCGGCCGCCTTGTCTAACCAACCACATTGCCGTGTTACCAACCCCTGGGTCCCATCAAGCTCTGTGGCGCACGTCTGGCTGTCCGGCACCACCAGCACTCTATCCAGGGCTTACGCCATTATTGGTCCCTCTATCATATCCGACAAGCTCACCACAAGTTGGTACCCCCGGGCTCTCTATCGCTTTCCCCTCGACCGTCGCCGTTTCTTCGTTGCTGTACCTTCCGAGCCGCGCCACTTGTACGCTCTGGATCATCATTTTCCTAGTCTTGCTATGCATCTTTCTTTCACATGTCGCTCTCCAATCTCGCCATTCCTTCTTCCTCTCCCTCCCACGCCTCTCCTCCTGCGAAGCCGACCCAGATAAAGTTCTATCGTCCTGCGCAAATGGCCCTTTTCGCCAAACTGGCAACATATCCTCCACTGGCCCAGGTTACGGTCGTCCCTCCGACAAGAGACAAAGTAAGTCCCCCGTTCCTTTCCCACAACTTGTTTCGTCCTCAGTAGGGCAGAGCCTGGCGAATATCATTCGACGGTCGCTCCGAAACATGCGTGGTCATGACGTCTCTTCTGACACATGATTCCTCCACCTCGTGTCCGTCGCATTAACATCTAGCGTAGTTCAACTTCACAGTCGTTCTTGAGTCCTCAAAATCACTGCCGGAAAGGCCGTGGGAGGTTTCAATATGGTACGATCACGCTAGCTACACTGGGACCAAGGCTCCCTGGCACGCACTCGATCTCAAATTAGTCGACACCACTCCGGCGGTTCTTTATGACGATTCTCAGACGGATAATTACCGCTACACATTTTCTGGAGATCTCGACAGCCCCTTCGTCTCGGCCGACAGAACTTACAAGGGTCGAAGAGTTCCGTTTACTGTTCGCTATCGAGTTGATCCCGATTCGGAATGGTCCTGGGTCTATCACAATTTCGGCATCCGCGATGGTGAACTCATTCTACAACCTCCCGTTGACCCCACCTTCCTCGGCGCATCGCCAGTTGAAGTCGGCGAAGGTTGGATTCTTAGGAAAACCCCAAGCGATGCGCCAGAAGCGCGTCTCTATACGATTGAGTCAGCTCTCCCGATCCCTTCCCCAACCGAAGGAAATACCACAATCGAATCACTTGTCTTGGGCAGAGTAACTCAACTCTGCCGGTGGTTTGCATTGGTACGGATATGGGAACCATGGTTTGCCCCGCGGCATGGCGAGCATCAACTGCATCTATCGGAACCGGCGATATTGCTCTCGTTTCTGAGGTGCGATGGTCTTCATGTCGTCATCTTAGCAATCAACGGAATCGACGACGTCCTTACTCAGTTCGGGTCAACACGGGAAGGCGAGATTGTGGTCCAAGCGAGAAATGATTCCGGGCGGGATCGCAAGTTCAAGCTCCTGGCAGCCACGGCGTGGAAATTCGAAATCGCAAATGCTGCCGTCATGTACGAGATGCGAAAACTAGTTCGACAGTCAGCAGCCTATCAGCAAAACCTTGAACGACTGGAGCAGCTGCCAAAGAGTATCAGGTCGGAGTCGCTTGACTCGGACACTGTTTTGGTCAATAACAACGATCCCTCGTCGCGCCAACCACAGGTAAATCCACAGTGGTTGGCAAGTTGGTACGACAGCCTGGCATACTGCACATGGAACTCCCTCGGGCAGGACCTGAACGCCGAAAAGATTATGGCAGGGCTGGATTCGCTTGCGAAACACCAGATTTACATCTCAACCTTGATCATCGACGACAACTGGCAGTCCCTTGACGGCACTCAAGGGGCGACGGACCAGTTCCATCGAGGGTGGAAAGACTTCGAGGCCAACCCTCTAGGATTCCCTGACGGACTCAAATCTTCGATAGACAAGATCAAAGAGACTCATCCCACGGTACGCGACATTGCTGTTTGGCACGCCTTGATGGGATACTGGGGCGGGATCTCTCCCGAGGGCGCTATCGCGAAGAAGTATAAAACTCTCGAGGTCACATTCCGTGACGGAACCCCAATGGCTGGACGTAAGCTCACCATTCACCCGGACGACATCTTCAGAATGTACGACGACTTTTACAGCTTCCTGTCCAATTCAGGGGTCACTGGCGTCAAGACTGATGTTCAATTTTCGCTTGATCTTCTAGCGAACACATCTGATCGACGGTCATTTACCAACGCCTATCAGTCTGCCTGGACTCAGGCACATCTACGCCATCTTTCTGGAAAAGCTATCTCATGCATGTCGATGATTCCACAAATTCTCTTCCACAGCTTCCTTCCCACGACGACACCAAGAATTCTCCTTCGCAACAGTGACGATTTCTTTCCTGATGTTCCGACATCCCATGCTTGGCACGTGTTTGTCAATGCGCACAATGCTCTATTCACCCAGCATCTGAACATTCTTCCTGATTGGGACATGTTTCAATCGAGTCATCCGTACAGTGGTTTCCACGCTGCGGCACGTTGTGTCTCTGGTGGACCTATCTATATCACGGATACCCCGGGTGAGCACGATGTGGACTTGATTCATCAGATGACCGCGCTTAATCCGCAAGGACAGACGGTCATATTGCGCCCCAGCTGCGTTGGCAAGACCATGGGCGTCTACGACAAGTACGACGAGAAGGGAGTACTGAAAATTGGTGTCTACGACGGCCGGTCCGACGTCGGTTCGGGGATGTTGGGCGTTTTCAACATCGCCGAATCGGAGATCAGCTTCATCCTCCCCATTACAAAGTTCCCAGGCGTGAATGCACCCGCTTCGGCGGATGGAGCAACACAGATTTCAAGTAGAAAATGGATCGTCCGCTCACATATGTCAAAACGCATCACCGCTCCAATTCACCCATCCGATCCGATCCGAGCAGACACCTTGCTTCAGTGCACGTTAGCCCCGCGAGGGTACGACGTTTGGACGTCCCTCCCTGTGCACACGTTTCGTCTCCCAGTCTCGAATCTGGAAGTCGACGTGGCTGTGCTGGGTCTTCTGGGCAAATTCACAGGCGCATGTGCGATTGTGGAATCAAGCTTCAACCATTCTGAGGTTGATGCCGATACTACCCCTCATCGACTCAAGATACACGTGCAATTAAAGGCGCTCGGTGTCCTCGGCATTTGGATATCCGACGTCCAGTCTCGGCAGCGCAAGGTGGAAGACATGATGGTCATGGTTCAAGGAAAGGCTGTGCCACAACATGTCATTGGATTTAATGCAGACCATGGACCTGAGGGAAGTGGGGTTCTTGAGATCAACATTGCCTCAGCATGGAAGGAGATGGAGCTAGAGCCTGGGTGGAGCAACGAGGTCGGTGTCGACGTGTTTCTGCAGTGACTACCGACCTCTTTATGGTTTTAGAAAAGAGAAGGGAATAGGGGCGGCGGAGCTGAAACATCTAATCCAGTATTGGAGGTTTCGGACACTTCGATAAACAAGTCGATGCTTGTCTTCCGGCCAACCTCGAGAAGCGCATTTTATCGTCAAATTGTTGGATGGGGTATCGCCAGCTTTTTGAGGGACAGCGCGATTCTCAGCATTCCTCCCGGGCGCTAACACACCACTTCATTGTTTTTTAAGTCTGGGGTTGGTTTTGCACGCAACACTACACATTTTTCGCTATATATTTCTGTCCAGAACGACTGAGATGTTTCGAATGGACCCGGTTTTCCTGGAAGAAGTCATATACGTTGCTTCAACTTTACCATACAAAAGCGCGCAGCACCATGATATCACGAAATGAATTGAGGAAATGTTGTGAAATGTCAGGGAAACGGGGAGCATAGAGACCCGTGTCAGCAAGTTTGATGAAAGGAGGAGAGGACCGTATACGAAGCCAGCTATGAGCAAGGGAAAATTTATGCCGCATGAAAATGTCAAGCATGGCGCTACGTATCTGGGAGAGCAAAAGGGTTTACTTGGACGAACAGCACTGCAGCCGCCAGCCAGCAGCGTGGCGGCTTGTCATGACGGAACGTACGTCGGATAGAGTGAATAGATAGATAGACAGACAGGAAGCATAGAATGCCAGAGAGAGACAGAGAATCACAAGCAGACGACGAGTCTTGTAGGGACCAGAAAATGGTATAATGCAGAAAAGTTGAGCGTCGCGCGCATAAGTAGGTGAAGTGAGTGAAGTGACTAGATGCTTGGTGTGATATATCCATATCTATATCACTATCTTTATCCCTGTCCCGGTGTGCCCGCGTTGCCCCCTGCCCGCGGTATCGTATCGCATCGCATCTCAGTGGCAGAAAAGGCATGGGGAGGCGCGTGGATTTCGTGGACGTGGTGGAAAGGAGATGAGAAGGGCGGGAATGGATCGAAATCAACGGAAAGAGTATCTGATCTGATCTGGTATCGAGCATACAAACCACCAGCCAGCCAGCCAACCAGCCAGCCAGTCCACGGGCAGTTTCAGTCACCGACCGAGTACGAGGGACGTACATATGCATGTTTTTACGTTGGTTTGCATGTGTGTATATTTCTAAAACGGCTCAAATGACCCCTACAAGTTGAGGGCCCTGGTAGAGACTAGGCCTCTCGGTATCAAGATATCAAGCGACGGGGTCACCCTGTCACTGAAGCCACAGATATGGACCGCGGATTCGAGTTATCGAAAGGTCTCTAGGTCCCTTCCACTTTGCTCATTCCGTGACTTGAAAAGCCAAACTGGCCCCAGGTTTGTGGGGGGTGCCGTGTTGCTTCTATCAACCACGCCCTTCTGTAAAGGGTCAGGACTCCATGAACGCCATGATGTAGGACTTGATGTGTAGTTGATGGGGGGCAATTCCAAGCGTAAAACAGCAACCAGTTCATGATTGATTGAAACAATTCCAACCTCCAGCAAGGTATGTAGGGCTCTAGCCCGCCTCTTTATTTGTCGTCATAGAAGCCTTCTTTTTCCAGTCTCCGTCGCGCTTCTTCTAGAGCCCATGTTTGTATCCTAGAGCGTGAACAATAGCAAGTCAGTTCTCCATGGTAATATAAAAGGTTTGGTGCACGCAATGAGCCAGAAAGATGAATGGGAACATGGCTTCTCGCCCTCGGAGCCAGCCAGCAGGAGATCTTCATCCACCCTCCAATCACCAATAACCATTGACAGTCCGACAAGCTACAATCGGGCCACGAAAAGAAGCAGGAATTGCAAGGGTAATACATACGAGGTATCCTCTTTCATGGTATATGCTGCGACTGCCACGACCCAACTCGCCACAAACACCCACGCAAATCCCTCCCATCCTTCTTTTTCATATTTCTCTCCCGGTCTTTGACCCCAGAGCCACCCTGCCGGGGCATCAAAGTGGTCGTCATGTCCATGGGCGTCGCCATGGTGACTGGGATGAGTGTCTTGCCCACGGTGCTCATTGTGAGCGGTGGTTGCCGTGCGAATTGAGGGGCGGGCTAGGGTGAAGCGGGATGACGAGGTGGTAGAGGACAGAAGCGACGCCGACGGGCGCGCAAGGCGAGAGGGTAAACGATGCAACATGCTGGCTGCGGTAACAAGTGATGCAGTTGCAGGTTTCACAGTTGACTGGAGGTCTGAGGGGAGGTGCCGAGAGCAGGGCGCGCCGGTCTGGAAGAAGAGCCGGCGGGGATCTTCTATTGCCTCGTCTCAGTATCGACGACAGAGAAGAGTATTCGAGTGAAGGACGGACCACGAGTCAACAGAGATGGGAAACTGGGGGAGCTGGAAGCTGGAACGCGATCAAGCGAGGTGGTTGTGGTGGGTGAAAGAGTTGAGGTTGAGACCATCTGGCATGCCAAGCCTTGGGAGCTCCGAGTTGGAGAATCAAAATCTCGGATCTGCGGCATCGTCAACGTCAACCTCGTCGTCGACCCATGCACTGTGGCACTCTACCACAAACAGGAACTGCTTCCATGGAAAGGATATACGCAAATAAACAACCACGCCCGTTCGTGCATTTCAGTCTTTCCATGACCTACACTAAAACACATGGCCCGCTACTAACCATCATGCTTTCCTCGTTGCTTCTTGGCTACTCGTGTCTTTGCTTTGCTTTGCTTTGCTTTGCTTTGCTTTGCTTTGCTTTGCTTCCCTTTCCTTCCCTTTGCTTGTGCTTTTTGCGGATACATTTAATGCCGTGTGCATGGAACCGGAGAACTCGAAGAATGGGAACAGCTGACCTCCCACACACGACTTCAATGCATAGGAGATCGCTGCCATAAGCCAAACTCCTCCATGAGAATCGTAAAAGAAAATAATGGAAAAAGCCGTCGACAATGCGTATCCATCACTAGGTCAGAAGTGCCCCCAAGGTCGTGCATTGCACGTTTCCCCCTTCCAGTTATTACAAGAATTCCTCGGTCTTGCTCTTGTCCTTGTCCTAAGTCCTTCCCGCTTTTGCTTTTTTTGTGTCCAACGATCACTCCCTCCCAATGCTGATAAACGACATGCGCCGTTCCCATGCATCCAATTCGATAGTCCGAGCTTTCGTCATAAACGCCATGCCATCGTACTGTACAAATGCTCCACAAGAAATCAAAGGGGAAACCCAATATTGTTTCCCCATCTCAGTTAGCTTCCACAACCTTTGTGAAATTTAAGGACGGTGAAATCTCGTGATCTGCCGATGCCTCCACCGTATCCAGGTAGCTATTTGCGCTCCTGCTCTTTGGGAGGCACGGCTTCCTCGACTCTGGACTGGGTGATGAGTTGGGCGGATCGAATATTTGCCGGAATACCGGCTCTTGGAATTTCTGTGGTGGCCGCTCCGGACTGAGCGACACCCCTTCGGCCCTGCGCACAATCTCTTTCAGGGCCCTTGTGATTACGCCAGCTCTCACCACCAGATCTCTCAAGTCCTGCGTGTCAAATGGGAGCTTGTCACGGTCACGCCCACGCCCCCGGCCCCGAATGGACTCCTCGGCAGGCGAGGCTTCTGCCTCCCGTCTATTCTGATGGATGGCCTGCAAGAAATTCTTAGCTTGCACGCTTTCTCCACGTGGCCGTCCGTAGGGAGGTGTTGCCGGACTGGAAATAGATCGTCGGCTCGTTATTCGTCCCTCTTCCTCCTCGATGGTCCTTTTCGGCGGAGGAGTCTCGTCGCCAAAAATGTCAGATGACACAGGAGAAGGTGCCCGAGGGAGAGCTTCGTCATCCTCGTTCACGGTGGCCAAATCAATGATGCTCCCTGCATCCTCCCACAGCTGCCGTGAGTGACTGTCCAAGAGTCCAAGGCCAGCACCGCGAAGGCGCAGCCTCTTAAGCTCTTCGACGAGTAACATAAAATCTCGGACTTGGCCGAATTGGACATGGACACTTTGTTGGCGATCTATGATGGATTGGGGAACCTTGACACTTCGGATCGACTCTCGGTTCACCGTTTTGGTCTCATCTGCCACTCCCGGAGCTTCCTCGTCCACGTCAACGTCGTCAAACTCAAAGTCATCGCTCCATTCTTCGCTTACAGGCTTGCTACCCAAAGCCCACGTACCAAACTTAGTGGCCGAGGATGGCGTATCACTTTCTGCGACACTGTCACGGTTGACGACCGGAACACTCTGGCTACGGAGGTGCATGGTTGCATTGCTTTTCCGTCCAGAAGGCCGACTCCTGCCAACATGGCTCCCTTGCTTACCATGAACGGTTTGCGGCCGAGGATTGATACCATTTGACTGATCGCTCCCAAACTTGGGGTGTTCCGACCAATCAAAGATGGAAGATCTTTGAATGGACGCTTGTTCTTCGAAATCGTCTTCCAACAGCTGCTCAAAGCGAGTCTGGATTGGACTCGACGGTACCTCACTTGGCGTCTTTTGTTGTCTGTCACTGGCAGATTTGGGGGACCAGTCAATGTCATCTTCATCGTCCATGTCCATCATTGGGGGAAGTTCAGGTTCCGCGGCCCGAGCTCGTGGAAACAGCTGTGTGGAAGGAGGGGAAGAGTCCAAAACAACAGGTTCACGATATATTCTCTTTGGCACTGGCGTTAAAACAAAATCGTCCACTTCCGCTGAGGGACTTTTGACCGGAGTGGACGCTTGATCTGGACTGAGGTTTTGCGTCTCCTCTGTGGGCTCAAGCCCACTAATGCCGATGCCGATATTGGCAGATTGTTCGTGACCTGCCTCGCGTCGAGGCGATTGTGTATCATCTAATGTGGCACGTTGCATTAAATCCTCCAAGGCAGATGTTCCAGCTGGAACCTGGTCAATCGACATCTCATCAAAGATTGTTTCTATTTTCGGTTGGCGGAAACCCGAGTGACTGCTGGCCGTGGCTCGAGTAGCCAGTGAGTCATAGGCAGTGTCGCTTTGGAAGTCCATGGAATCATCATCGGTGAATACTCTTATATCATTGTCCGAGCTAGCCG